ACACCCATTAACGTAAACTACGCCAGAGTGCGTACACCTCACGCACTGGATGCCGTGTGCGCGCACAAAGACAGTTGGACATAGTGGTGTATTAGAGGTAAAAAATGATATAAATACTGTTCGGTTTCTGGCACAAACCGATCGTTTCGTGTCTTAGGACATCAATGTGTCGTCACGAGCCGCAGGGTTTAATTTGGATTTGTCTGTGCATGTTTTTTTTACTCTCATAGATTTTGTTACCATTGCCATGCATTATACGACTGATAGACTGCAACGGTTAAAGTTAAAAATCATCATATGTGTTCTACTGAAGAAACAAAGTCACCTACATCTTGGATGCCCTGGGGGTAAGCAGATAAACATCAAATTTTCATTTTTGGGTGAACTATCCCTTTAAGTGCAATAAGTTGCAGAAAACAACTCTTTGTCTGGCACACAAACTGTCTCTCGGATAGCGTGTGATTGCTTCAGTTTTCTTCCGTGCCTTATTACACTCGAACGGTCAAATACACACACAGTTATGTCAGAATGCCTGTCTTGACAAGTATTCATGTAAACACAGTCGGTTATGTCTTAAGTGGGGCTACACAATTAATCGAAAATCGAATCAAAATCACAATTAAATTGTCTGGTTTAGTGCGATTATGAAATAGGGAAGGCTGTTATGCGCAGCTTGTCAGTGAAGTACGGCTCTGTGATCAGTAGTAAATAATGCTCCATCTGAAAGCACTGTGAGTTTGAGTCGCTTATAATGTGCATTTGAAAAAGCAACAAGCGCCAAACATGAGAAGCATTTATGAACATCTTGTCCAACAAAAGACAACATTTAATATAATGTTTTTACTCCAAACTCACTTTATAATGTCAGTCGAGTGTTTGAAATAAAATCCATCCGTGAGACGATGTGGCTTCTTAGTGATAGGTGTCGATTAGCACTGCATTATAAATATACTTTATTATGATAACAATTATAATAATAAGAACTCATAAACCATATATTGTCGTAGTCATGTGTTTATTAGTCATGTTGAATCAATGAAAGGAAAGCAGTTCAAATTTCTGTTTATTCAGCAACAGAGACAGGGACTTCCTGGAATTATGTGCATTTTCTTTCTTTCTTCTGTGCCCTCTGGCCTTCAGATGGAGTATATTTTTAATATTTTTAAATATGATTTAAATTGATTTCACACACTTAAAGTAATAGGCCTATCATATCGCATATCGAATATCGCATTATTAAATAACGTATCGCATATCGCATTTTTCTTCAATATCGCACAGTCCTAATCTGCGGTTAGATGAGATGTTGTCACGTTATATGTCTGTGTCACTAGTTTAACATTATTTTGATAACTTGTTAGAAAATGAGGTCTCTCACCTCAGAAAAACAAACTTTCCTATCCTGTCAGCCGTTATACTGCGCTCGTAGCAAACATTCTTCAATTGCAAGCGCAAATCTGGTGGCAGACTGTATATCACTTCATTACAAACAAAGCGTGAAAGAAACGACGAGCATGCAATGTCGTAATTATGTTGTCAATTGGAAAGTTACCAAAAAGAATCAATGCATTTTATTTACAGTGCCTTGCGAAAGTATTCATACCCCATTCATTTTTTCACATTTTGTTATGTTGCTACCTTATGTTAAACTGCTTTAAATTACTTTTTTCCACATCAATCTACACTCCATGCACCATACTGACAAAGCAAAAACAGAATTGTCACAACTTCGTAAATTTATTAAAAATAAAAAAACTGAAATAAGTACATTGCATAAGTATTCATACCCTTAACTAAATATTTAACTGAAGCACCTTTACAGTCTCAAGTCTTTTTTGTTTAATGCGACAAGCTTTGATCATCATCATTTGGCAATTATCTGCCATTCTTCTCCTCACCTCTCAAGCTCTGTGAGGTTGGATGGGAGCAATATATATGAATTAGGTCAAATGCCTAAAAAATTGTGTCGCGGCTTAATGACCATATAGGAAAATGTGGGTCGCATGGCCAAACCAGTTGAGAACAACTGGTATACAGTATACCTTTGACAAACAAAAGAAACTGTAATTGAGAAAAATGCATCTGTTTGAGCTATGTAGATTTAATTATCATTATTATTTTATCTTAGAGTGTAGCGGATACTCTGGCATACATTCAAAGTAACTTGCTTGAACAACGATACAGGTAAAGTTCTTCCACTAAAATTTTAGGAAAAAATAATTAATTTTCATTTGAAATGGTTTCTATTTTAGAATACATTCAGGTGTTATTGCATGACTTTTGTAGGCTAAAGTATATGTTTATGTTGATCTCATCTCCATTGGCTTGTTTCTGCAAAACTTTTTCTCAGGAAGGGCTATACATTTTTGCAAGTCGGATATAGGATGAATACAAAATATTCTGTTTTGCAGATATAACAAGACCCCTTTTTCAGGAGAGGAAAATCATTTCAGAACAAATTTAGTAAGCCTTCCACTGTGCAATGGTTAACTAGCTTTCATTGCTGTTTTAGTTGTCCCAGTGAGGATTATGGCATTCAGTGTGTACAAGCAACATGTAAACTTCTAGAGAAGATCTGCAAAAGAATTAATTACTACAGTCATGCACAAAATTTCACTGATATTCCTGTTGGTTGCATGAACCTAGTGGCCTCCGTATCAGGATTTGCCCAGGTATTCCATTCTGCAATTTTTGTTTTAAATAGCTCATTAAAGCCAGTAGAATTGACTCAGTATGTCTAAATATTTGTTCAACCTTAAGGCGAGACAACAAGCTGACACTTTTCCTGAGAAGACTCTTGTGTTACTCAATGAGGCCAAGAAATCTGTGAGGACATGGATCAGACAAACTTTCAAAGGCAGACTTTTGGACAGTAGCTATATGTCGGCTGTCAGATTCACAACAGAGATTGAGGTAAGCAGAACAAGTACAGTTGAGGTCATAAGTTTATATATGCAGTACTAAATAAAATATTTTGCCTTAAAATATGAACACCAATCATACTGCTATTTTGTCTTGTGCACTGAATGTAAACATTCACTTTTGTGTGAAATAGCTTATTCAGGACGGTGATAAAAAAAATTCAATTTTTATTTATTTTATTAACATTTTGCAGATTGCCCAAGATGTATGTAAACTTATTACCTCAACTGTATGTTTATATAAACTAACCAATGGTAGAATCCTTCTATATCGGCAGTTCATAGTTTATTATAATGATGTTGTCTGTTCTGCTTTACAGATGTGGAATAATATTATAGCCATAGATTTCATGAGTAAGGACTTCACTAAAGAATGGAGAGAGACATTTACACTGGACTTTGAGGGGAAATACCAGCAGGTATTAATTACACAGTTCCAGTATGCATGTCTACTAGGGTTGGAAGTTGAACCAGTGCAATATTTATTTATTTATTTATACTTTTATTTAAAAAATACTAATAATTAAAATTTGGGTTCTGTTGATGTTATTGAATATCTGCATTTTTCTATTCTGCATTAAAAAAACACTCAATGGAAATGGCAAGATGTGCATAAAACACACGGCTCCATGAGATAACTGGAACGAGAACTCTGTTTTCTCCAAAATACTGAAGCCTGATTTGATAACGTTCATGTAGCTGCATGAACAAATGGCATTTCAGCCTGCCAAAGTGGGTGGAGCCGATTGCCTATGTAAGTCGGCGCTGAGTGCCATTTCATCAGAATCTATCAACTGATAAACAACAGCATCGACTGAGGTGCGGCTTTGTAGTACGGCCAGCTATGCAGTGCTCATTCCTGTTATCTCAGGGAACCAATGTTACTTCAGTAAACGGAGGATTTCCTTTCGATATGGTTCACTCACGTTGTGTTTGCCACTCTGTGGGGAACAATATGCAATAGCACCATGCTATAAACACAGAACAAAAAGCTGTCCTGTGAGCCCAGCACTAGGGCACCCAAGGTGAGGGCCCTAAGGGTAGCATTGGCCAATAAAGGGCACAATTAACCCAGAATCAGTGAGGCCAGAGTCCTTACAGGTTGGTTAGGCGGACAAAATCTGTGCCTGAAGGGCAGGGATGTCCAGGCTATAAAACCTAGCAAAGGTAGATGGCGAAGACCAGTCAGCTGCCGCACAGTTATCTGCAAGCATCTGCTGATTCATCAGGTCGAGGTGCAGGTGCCTCAGATTGAGGATCTGAGATTGAGGATCTTCATGCTGAAGGAGAAAGATTCTGATGAAATGGCACTTAGCGCTGACCTATATAGGCATCCGGCCCCGTCCATTTTGGTGGACTGAAATGCCATTTATTCATGTAGCTACATGAACATTATCAGATTGGGCTTCAGTATTTAGGAGAAAACAGTTTTCCCCATATCGTGGCAAACGATGAGTTGACACGGAATTACCCATTTGTTACTTTGTTTCGTCTGTAGGGAAAAAGAGCCACAGTGGCTTTGGTTGCAGCAGCTTCCATTTTTATTATTGATACTTTGTACCATTTTCCCAGGAAGTGACTTATTCACTTGAACATATGGAATGGAAACAATGCTTTATTCGCAATGATATTGTTATATTATATTATTTTATGTTATATTTATGTTATGTAATATTATATTGTTTTATGCGATATTCCAATTTTTCACGCAAGTTAAATTCACAACTTTAGATGGAAACAAAGCTACTGTACGAACTCCCAGTACACTTCAAACGCACTTAAGACGGAATGTCTTAAGCAAAAGAGATTCGCATCTGGCTCAACTTCAATAAATGTGACTAGACATTTAACCTGGACTACTGAAAACTTTGACATTTCAAAGTGTTTCTTTGTACTGTATATTTGTAAATATGGGACTCTTTGTTTTTGTTTTTTACTCTCTTTAGGAAGATAATCTGGATCAAATTGAGGTTTATTGCTCAAAGATTGAGAAACTTAATGGCTCCCAGCCTTATTTGGTGGATAGTGTAGAGAAGTGTGCTCTCCAGGCTGTTACCACAATATGCCAGGTAAAGGTCTTTCACTTCATTCTCACTGACATCACGAGTCATGCAGCTTTATATAAATATTCATTAGAAAATTGAATAAAATGGTATTTGAACCGAAGTCTAGTCCAGGTTGAGGATTATTTACCTTTTTGTACCTACAGAATTTAGTGAATGCATGCTGGCTTGAAATATTTAAAGAAATAGTTCGTTAAAAAATAAAATGATGTAATAATTTTCTCACCCTCATGTCATTCTAAGCTCGCTTCTGTGGTGTGCAACAGGAGAAATTTTGGATGTTTGTATTATTTGTATGTGTGTGTGTGTGTGTGTGTGTGTGTGTGCTTGTACAACTATCTTTGTGAGAACCAGTTTGAGTTTAACCATCAGAGTGAGGACCAAGAGTCTAAAGTGAGGACATTTTGGCCAGTCGTCACCTTTTGGCCCCCATTTAAAGGGCTGTTTGAGGGTTAAGACTTGGTTTTAGGGTCAAGGTCAGGGTTGATGTAACGGGGGGAAGGTTAGGACGATTCCAAGGGCCCTGATTAGAGATGTGTGCATGTGTGTGTTGAGGTTTGAAATGTTTTGATGACATCATTTTTTGGAGTGAACTAATCCTTGAAGTTATAGCACAGGGACAGAAAGTAATGAGTTTACCATTCATTGGGTGATGAGCAGTGTTTCTGCAATACATTAATCAATGGTCTTCATGGTTTTTGTATTATTTTTTCCAAGTTAAATGACTGAAAACAGTTGTTATAGTGTCTTGTGTGTGTGTGGGATTGAATATGGGAAGACACTTACTGTACAGATCTTTTTAACAGACTAAATCTGAGGGAAAACTTTTTGAGAGATTCAATAAATTGCGGATTAACTGGAAATTTGGAAAGCTTGTATCTACCATCATCCTAAAGTCCTGGCCAAAAGATGACAGAGGAACCTATCTGCAGGAAGAAGTTGTTCTCAACCATCTTCTGGGCTGGACTGCAGCTAAGAATATCTTTCAGCTTCATGGTAATTATATGGGTTTCCTCTGCATGGCATTGCTGTGTTGTGAGTTTACAACCTTTTTTTATACAGAAGAAAGTGTCTCATATATATGTTTTTTTTTTGCTCTGCAGGTGCTGATGAAAAACTGATCGATCAGCTTACTAACGAGGCTAAAGAGAAATTTGCCATGGCAACCTCATTATTCGCAAACATTTTAAATCAAGTCATAACAGGAAAAATAACGATAAAGCTACTCAATCACATACTGCAAAAGAGGAGTGCTTTCTTTGAGCTGCTTAATTTAGGTAAAAATATCTCACACATGAGATTTGCCCCATTTACCATACTGTAATATGAGGAGTCATTACTCTACTGTTTTTACAGACTGTTTTTGTGAAAATGAACAATACAAGGACACCATTGCCATGAGGAGACTTCTTCAGTCTAGACAAGAGGAGGTGAAGGCTATTGATCATGAGAGAGCATTAGTAAATGCTCTCATAACAATGTGCCGCAATCTGCAAGAGCATGTGATGGGTAGAGTATATGCTACAGTATCTACTTAACACCTGACAATAATAACTCACTTTTATACCGAGATTTTAATGCTAAATTTGTTCTGTTTTACAGTTGATTTTGAAGGGTTGGAAGAAAAGCAGAAAATTGACATTGATGAGATGTACCTGGACGAGTTTATGGAAGTTCATTCATTAAATCAGATTCCCTCTGAAATGTCGGGAGTAGTCACCTACTTTGACCTTGAAGATGATGTTCGATCAGTGGCAGAGGTTCTAAACCGCTATAAAGACAGCTACATTTTCAAATCGTGTTGGGTGAAACAGGCAACTTTGTTTGTAGAGAATGCTAAAGATGATGGAATTATTCCTTCAGAGGAGGAATTGGTTATCACACTCGAAGATCTTTATAGTGAAATATTTGAACCATGTTATGATGCCTACAAAAACATATACACAAGGCTTAAAGATGGTAGCATAACGTTTGAAGAAGTTGATGTAACATTCAAAGCCTACAAGGGAAAATATGATGAACTGGAATTAGAAGTTGCAATTATATGCAAACTGAATCGCAATGATGACCAACGCTGGGTCCAGACACGAATCCAACAGATCGAGCAGTACCATGAGCTCCATCTGGCAGTAGAGGCAGCTCAGGTGGTCATGATGGTCAAACAAACACTCGGCCTACAAGGAGACTTTCAAGTTTTGGAGAAGTTGCTTGTTACTGTAAGTCATCTAATTTTTGGCATTATGTTTCCTACTGTCAGATAAATGCATTTCAATAAAAAAATAAATAAGACGTGGTAAACCCATGAGGCTTTCTACCCTTCAGACACACTTGGATTTTAAACAGGAGCGTCTTGACAGCATAGACAATGAGTTGATGCAGGCAAAAGCTGTGCTTGTGGACATCACAGAGTCCCGTAGACTGTGCCTTAAAGAGCTTGGCCTCAGAAAGAATTTTGTTATTTGGGTTAAAGAGGCTCTTGAAGGTAAATAATAGGTGTTTGTTCTGGTTATTGAATGTGATTTCTTTCATTCTTATGCTGTTTTATAAGAAAATGTTATTCCTTTTTACACCTTCAGACATAAATGAGTTGAAAGTCTTTGTGGATTTGGCTTCCATCTCTGCCGGAGAGAATGATTTGGATGTGGATCGTGTGGCCTGTTTTCATGATGCAGTTCTTGGCTACTCTTCAATGCTCTATGATTTGAAGCCAGATGCTGGCTTCAAGCACTTTAAAGAAATGCTGAAGAAACTATGGAAGGCACTTAACAATGATCCCAACCTCCCAAAGAAATTGGTAAGAGTATGAATGAATGAATTAAGAAGAAAATACCAATGAAACCGTTTTCCAATGAAAAAGCTCCGCTCTCATTTGTCTCTCTTTTCGAGGAAAGAGGGGCAGCCATCGGCTCCCCGCGGTTCAGGACCCGCCGCTGGTGAGGCAGCTGTCTTTCTGCCCATAACCCTCCAGCTCAGGTGAGCCTTCCTTTCTTCCTGTTTTCCATATAAACATTGAGAAGGAATGGAAGAGGCCGTTTTTTCCTCTAAGACTCCCCTCCTTGACATCTCGCTCGGAGAATGAGCTCGTGGGGATCGCAGGTGGATCTGGCCGATGAGTTTAAAGAGGGGCTTTCCCCCTCGCGCTCATTGGCTGTGGACGAGAGAGAGCCACTGAAGGATGATGTTATTTCATTTAACATCGTCTGATCCAGGGGCCAGTGCTCTGCTGAGTTCGACCCAAGAAGAGCAGGAGATGTCTGAGGAGGGCAAATAAGCTGAGGCTGAGCCTTCCCAATCCTCATGCCCTGCGTATGATGAGTTTTGGAAGTTATGGATCGTGCCACTGCGAGGCTTGACTTGCCATGGAAGCGGGCCAAGAAAGTGACGTCGCGAGGTCGTCTCGATGAGCGCTATCTTTCTGCCCAAAACCCTCCAGCTCAGGTGAGCCTTCCTTTCTTCCTGATCTCCATACAGAGATCGAGAAGGAATGGAAGAGGCCATTTTCCTCACGCATCCATCGATTCCAGAATACAAATTATGCCAACATCGAGGAGATGTGCGAAAACGGCTATGAGAAGATGCCCCCCGAAGAAGAGCTAGCTTTCTCTCTATGGTGAGACATCCTCTCTTAAGACTCCCTCCTGACCATCTAAGTCCCTTCAGGATACATCTCGCTTGAATGGCAGGGCATACGCAGCAGCAGGTCAGGCTGTCGCTTCGTTGCACACGATGGCATGCTCGACTTGCAGTGTTTTCCTCACTCGTCGATGTTGTATCCAGCCGGTATGATTGCCCTGGTTTCGGCTTCATGCTTCTTGGATCATGCGGCCAGGTCACAGGCTTCTGCGGGAGCCTTCTTGATCATCAGGCCCCCGGCACGGCACTGCAAAATCT